AGTGCGCCCCGCCGACCCTCAGCCCGGCTCCGCGCTAAGGCTCTGGCCGGCTTAAAAGCCGGTTTGCCCCAGCAGCCTCTTTGGGGGTGGGGAGACAGGGCAACAGCGCTACCTTTTTAAACCTGGCCCGCGAAAGCTCATCACCTAACAAACCATCTTGTTAGTCTTTAAAATGCTACATGGTCCTGTTTGTTTTTTAAAATGTAGTAAGAGTCACCTGGCTATTACTACATTTAAAAGGCAGAGGCGCAGCGTGGGAGCTGGGCTGCCTGCATGCCTGGTTCCTACTACATTTAAGCTGCAGAGCTGCAGCTGCCCCTTATCAACTAATCGTGTACTCAATACAAATTGTGTCAAGTATACGATTAGTCATTTACTTGCTACTCAACAGCCTTAGATTATTCTGCAGTCAGGGCTATCAACCTTCCCAGACTATTTTATGTCTTTTGAGAATATGATTGGTCTTGCATATTCCCACGTTTCACCTCACTTACTACTACTTACAAACTACTTACTTACAAAATCAGACAAACATACAAGTGTCACATAACACTATTCCTGAAAACAGGAGTCTTGTGAGCAAGACTTGAAAAGTCATTCTTCCACTCTACTTTGATTAGGTCTCAATTGGAGTACTGTGTCCAGTTCTGGGCACCACATTTCAAGAAAGATGTAGAGAAATTGGAGAGGTCCAGAGAAGAGAAGCAAGAATGATTAAAGGTCTAGAGAACATGACATATAAAGGAAGACTGAAAGAATTGGGCTTGTTCAGTTTGAAAAGGAGAAGACTGGAGAGGGGACATGATAGCAGTTTTCAGGTATCTAAGAGGGTGTCATAATGAGGAGGGAGAAAATTGTTCTCCTTAGTCTCTGAGGATAGGACAAGAAGCAATGGGCTTAAACTGCAGCAAGGGAGGTTTAGGTTGGACGTTAGGAAAAAGTTCCTAACTGTCAGGGTGGTTAAACATGGAATAAGTTGCTTAAGGAGGTTGTGGAATTTCCATCTCTGAAGATGTTTCAGAGCAGATTAGATAGCCATGTATCAGGGATGGTCTAGATGGTACTGAATTCTGCCATGAGGACTGGACTCGACCTCTTAAGGTCCCTTCCAGTTTTAGGCTATGTCTACACTCACGGTTTCTTGCGCAAGTACAGCCATTCTTGCGCAAGAATCTGCAGAGCATCCACACTGGCGCCCCCGCCCCTCCTTGCGCAAGGAAATTTACAGTACAGCGTGGTAAAAGAGAGCTTCTTGCACAAGCACTACGCTCTTTTTTTTTTTTTTAATCGGGTGTAAGCCCTCTTGCGCAGGAGCTCTTGCTCAAAAGGGCAGTGTGGACACTCGGCAGGGATTTCTTGCGTAAGAAAGTCCTATGGCTAAAGAAAGTCCTATGGCTAAAATGGCCATCAGAGCTTTCTTGCGCAAGAGAGCATCCACACTGCCATGGGCGCTCTTGCGCAAAAGCACAGCTCGCACATGACACTGTGGACATTTTCTTGTGCAAGCGTTCTTGTGCAAGAAGTCTTTCGCAAGATGTTCTTGCACAAGAAGCCGCCATTGTAGTCATAGTCTTAGTGTTCTGTGATTCTATGAAAAGTTGCCTATTTTCTTATTTTTACCTGGTAAAAATAAATCTATTAGTCTATAAATACATTTCATTTACATTTCTATGTATAGTAGTGGTTCTCAACTGGGGTACATATAGATCTTCGTGGGTACAACATTAACTAATCTAGATATTTGCCGAGGTTTATATTAGGCTACGTAAAAAGCACAAGCAAAGTCACTACTAACTAATGTCAAATAATTACTTGTTTATATTGCTCTATATACTTCACACAGAAATGCAAGTACAAAAGTGGCTCCTATATGTTTTTTTCCCCCCAGAGGTCCTTTTCTGTAACTCTTCTTTCTCTCTTACAGATTGAAGATATATATTCATTTTCTGGGTAGCTTGCATTATTTTACACTGAGGTTGGGTGTACAAGTCTACTGCTATAGTGTGGACACTTACTACAGGAATTGAAAGGGGTTTTTCTCATTGTAGTAAATTCATCTCTCTCAGGGCATGGAAAGATTGGCCTACATTTTAGTTAAGAATGGCCATACTGGGTCAGACCAAAGGTCCATCTAGCCTAGTATCCTGTCTTCCCACCGTGGCCAATGCCAGATGCCCTGGAGGGAGTGAACAGAACAGGTTATCAAGTGAGCCCTTTCCTGTCTTCTATTTCCAGCCCCTGACAAACAGAGGGTAGGCACACCATTCTGGCTAGTAAGTATTGGTGGACCTAATAATCTCCATTAATTTATCTTTTATTTAATTTGAATTTATCTAAACCAATTACATTTATCCACTGTAGCATGATTAAAATGTAAACTCACCAGAAGTGTACTCCCCAGCATCAGGGGCTGGAAGCAATAAGTCCTGGGATTGACTCCAAAGCTTTTAAAAAAGGTCCTGGCTCTTAGTGAGATCAGATCCTTCGCTTGCCCGCTGAGCATTCTCCTCGTTGTCCTCCTGCTCTTCTACCATTTCTTCCTCATTGCTACTCAATGCTGCCTAAAGAGTCACTGGTGGGATATCTACAGATAACTATGGGACAGTAACTAGGTATTCATGGAAGTGGCATGATTTCAGCTGTGACCCAGACTGACTATTTGCCTCCTTTGTTTTTTGGTAGGCCTGCCTGAGTTTTTATTTTCACACGGCACTGCTGGGTGTTCCAGGTGTATTCTTTTCCACCATGTCCTGTGTAATTTTGGCATCGATATCAGCATTTCTTCTGCTGCTTTGGAGTTGTGCGTGCACAGATTCCTTTCCCCAGACACAGAAATCAGATCCAGGATCTCCTGCATGCTCCATGCTGGAACTTGTGTACAATCCTGGGCATTCGTGGCCAGCTGTGTTGCTGAGGGGTGCAGCTGGGCTCCCCACACTGGCCAAATAGGAAATAAAATTCTGAATTTCCCCAGGCTTTTCCTGTATACCTGGGAGAGCAGTAGAGTTGAAAGTGCTGGCCAAAGACATAACATTGGGCCATTGGGACACCTGGAGTTCAAGCACATCAACTTTAACAGCAGCGCATCTGTACTATCTGGAAATCAACCATGAAGTGTCAAATTTAGCACGACTCAGAGCTGGAAGAGACCTCAGGAGGTCATCCAGTCCAGCCCTCTGCCCAAGGTAGGACCAATCCCAACTAAATCAACCCAGACAGGGCTTTGTCAAGCTGAGGCTTAAACACCTCTAGGGATGGAGATTCCACCACCTCCCTAGGTAACATATTCCAGTACTTCACCACCCTCCTAGTGAAATAGTTTTTCTTAATATCCAACCTAGACCTCCCCGCTTCAACTTGAGACTATTGCTCCTTGTTCTGCCATGAGTCACTACTGTGAACAGCCTTTCTCCATCCTCTTTGGAAACCCCCTTCAGAAAGTTGAAGGCTGCTATCAAATCCCCCCTCACTCTTCGCTTCTGCAGACTAAACAAACCCAAATCTTTCAGTCTCTCCTCATAGGTCATGCGCTCCAGCCCCCTAATTATTTTGGTCGCCCTCTGCTGGACCCTCTCCAATGCGTCCACATCCTTTCTATAGTTGGGTACCTAGAACTGGACACAATACTCCAGTTGTGGCCTCACCTGAGCCGAATAAAGGGGAATAATCACTTCTCTGGATCTGCTGGCAATGTTCCTCCTAATGCACCCTAATATGCCATTAGCCTTCTTGGCTACAAGTGCACACTGTTGACTCATATCCAGCTTCTCATCCACTGTAATCCCCAGGTCCTTTTCTGCTGAACTGCTACTTAGCCATTCAGTCCCCAGCCTGTAACAATACGTGGGATTCTTCTGTCCCAAGTGCAGGACTCTACACTTGTCCTTGTTGAACCTCATTAGATTTCTTTTGGCCCAATCCTCTAATCTATCCAGGTCACTCTACACCCTATCACTGGCCTCCAGCGTATCTACCTCTCCCCCTAGCTTAGTGTCATCTGCAGACTTGCTGAGGATGCAATCCATCCCCTCATCCAGGTCATTAATAAAGATGAACAAAACCAGTCCCAGAATTGATCATTGGGGCACTCTGCTAAAAACCGACCGCCAACCTGACATTGATCACTACTCGTTGGGCCCAACAGTCTAGCCAGCTTTCTATCCATCTTACAGGCCATTTAGCCAATCCAAACTCCCTTAACTTGCTGGCAAGAATATTGTGGGAGACCATATCAAAAGCTTTGCTAAAGTCAAGGTATATCACATCCACTGACTTTCCCATATCGACAGAGCCAGTTACCTCGTCAAGGAGCAATGTAGAAATAGGGACTCAATGGTTTAGACTCTCTGGTTTTAAAATCGACCTAACATGACTAACTTCAACCTAATTTCATAATGTACATCAGGCCTAACTTCTGTACAGGACTCAAAAGTAGTTTTGGCTTCTCCTCAAGCATTTGGAATCTAATGTCTATGTGTCCTGCAGTAAATTGAGCATTGTATTGCTTTGAACATAATTTTTCACCTACCGGGAATAGGATATTTGTAAGTTGACTTCTGATCCCATTTTAATTTAAGATATAGTATCACTTTATCACCATATAATTATTAATTGTATAGAGAACTTACTGTAATTACTTTGTGTAATAAATTATTGAACTAAAGAAATTGATTGCAGCAATGTTTTTCTAGATCCATACGCTCAGCTTCTTCTTGATGCCATGAAGCAGTCAGGCTGGTAAGTAAATCTCTGACTTGTGTGTACTATATTGACTGCTAAGGAAATGCCGTTCATTGTTAAAATATTATTTAAAACTTGCCTCTAATTTTATGCATTTTGACCTTTCAGCACTGTTTATAAAGATCGGCACTTTGCATGTGAAGACTGTGATGGGTGTGTCAGTGGAGGCTTTGATTCTGCAACATCACAGGTGACTATTTAATACCTATGAAGTGTAAAAGAAGATTGCAAGAAAATGCATTTATAATCACAATCAGATTTTTAAATAATGTTGGACGTTTGATTTAAATCCATAAAAAGAAAGGAAACTTTAAAATCAGGTAGACCTTGTGTGTGTGCTTAGATATTGGTGCTTCTTTGTAAAGTGCTTTGAGCTCTGCTAGTAAACAATTAAGAATGTAAGAATTATTATTTTTACTCCATGTAAAATAACACAAAATAGGGCAATATCAGTAATATTAGTACACAGTAGGCTAAAGATGTGGGCAATGGAGAAAAAGGTGGGATTCCAAAAGTCCTCAGTGATGCAGATGACTTTTCTGGGGTATTTGAGGGATTGTAGGATAAATATGAAATGAACGAATTTGAGTTAGCTTAAATTTTTTGTTTATAGAAGTATAGGTGGTGTAAAAAAAGGTCTTGAGTAGCAAATTGGAAGGAAGGTATTGAAAATACTAAGTTAAAGTCCAAATGAAAGGAAGTGTGGTTCAAAGAATCTAATATATAAAGGAGAATGTTTGTGCTCTAATAACTTGGACGGTATAAGACCTCCCGCAACCCGACTTTCCATGGGATAACCTTTCCTCCAGGAGAAGGTTTTAAGGTACTGTGGGAGGGAAGAGATGAGACCAACGCCTCTCCCCAGGGTTGTACGAAGCTTGGCAGTGCGGGGAGAAGCTGTTTCCCCACCATTGCTGGAAGCATATGGAGGCCCCTCTTCAATAGCGCAATTGGCTTGGGGCCCGGCAGTCGACCAATGGGCGGGCAGATTGCTGCCGGGGCTCGCTCTAGGTGGAGGGGGTGGGGCTGGTGTTATCCCTCAGCTGCCACTTTGAAAAAATGTCCAGAAAGGTGCATCAGGGCAGTGCGGGGAGAAGCTGTTTCCCCACCATTGCTGGAAGCATATGGAGGCCCCTCTTCAATAGCGCAATTGGCTTGGGGCCCGGCAGTCGACCAATGGGCGGGCAGATTGCTGCCGGGGCTCGCTCTAGGTGGAGGGGGTGGGGCTGGTGTTATCCCTCAGCTGCCACTTTGAAAAAATGTCCAGAAAGGTGCATCAGGGGGACCCTGAGGTGAGAGCGGGGGGTTGGAGGGAATGAATGGGGAGGAGCTGGTCCGGGGGGGAGAGGGAGCTGGACCATTGGGTGTGAATGGGGGGGAGGGCCGGATTGAGTGGGTGG